GCTTTTTGGGAACTCTCCTCTCGATTATTCATTAACTATTCTGTTATGTGATTATTCTGAATGGAGTTGAGATACCCGGACTTGCCATTTTTCTTGTGTTGCTCCAGCTTGTTCTGCCCATTTGGTGTGAAAATAACACCAATTTTGTGCTAGAACCCCATTTTAAGGCAAGCATCATCCAGAGTCCTGTAGTTGCACAGTCAAAATGGCTGTAGATACAATCAAGTTCAACAGATACAACCTATTCAATATCAAACAACTATGGATTTATGGGCTAAGAATATCAAAGTGGGATTCATCAGAAATTATTAGGTTTTGTGAGAATTGTGGTGAAAAATAGGATTAGAGAGATGTGGAGAGGTAAAAGGAGAGTGAATTTAACCAAGTCCTAATCTCAGAGAGGGAAATGGATAGGATAGAATGATAGGAGAGAGATAAAAATACAAGAAAAAATGGAAAAACAAAAATTTAAATTAAAAAAATGAAACACTTAAAAATTATGTTAGTATAAAGAAATGATATTGAGAAAAGAAAAGTTTAGGATGAGAGGAGGAGAAAGATAAAAAGAAAAAATGAAAAAGTAAATAAAAATTTTTAAATTAAAAATTATATAGGCATAAAGAAATAATACTACTATTAAAATAGTTAAGCTTAAGAGGTTGTGAATTTAGTAATAACTGTCTGGATTAAGTATGTACACAATGAAGGACAAGATCTAATAACTGATGATGGGTATTTATCTGGGGATGTGCAGAACAGCAATTATGTCATGCAAAAAGAAAAAAAATGACTAAATGACCAAGTGGTCAAAAGAAATTTAAAAACAAAAAGAACACACACACACACATACACACCTAAAATAAAAATTATAAAAGAAAAATATAATAGAAAACAATTAAAAATGTCAAAATGGTAGAAAAAGCGTTGTTTGATTTTTTTTTTTTTTTTGTAGAGGGTGGGGGCTGGGGCGGGGGAAGATCTTGTATCTCCCTTGTGTCCATATCCAGTCTGTTGGTGGAGTCTGGTCTGCTTGTGGTATTTGTTTTCCTGTGGCTTGATTGGTTTCTTAATTCACTTTGTTTTAGCAGGCCACCAGCTCTGACTTACCCAGGACTTTGTGATCCTCCTCCCAGGCTAGTTCAGTGGGAGGAAGATCTGCTTTGAGGATCACAAAGGAGGGAGATAGCTGTTTCCTCAAGTTTGCAGATGCTGTGATGAGGCTAGGTTCTGAGTAGGGTTGAAGCCTAGCAGCAGTCAGTAGCTTTTCCCTGAGGGGCTAGCTCTTGAGACACTCACAGATCCCAGCCTGGAGCCATTCTCAGGGTCTGTGTTTACCGAGTTTCAATTGTTTGTCAAGGCTAGTGGGGAGGGGCAGCCTCTGGCTCTGTTTACCCAGTGAAGAAAGTCTCTCCTCTGGGGGCAGAGCTATCACTGCCTGGGTAGTGTGTCTTTACCCTGGGTGGAGTTGAGCCTGGAAAGTCAGGTCATGTTCCTGTGACCTGTTGAATGGCTCCTCTTGTTTTCTTCTAAGGCCTAAGTTGGACAAGTTTCTTGGCCTGGCCTTTGTCAGTATCAAAGATGGAGATCTTTTCCGGTGGTGGGAGTGGGGCTTCCTTCCCACCTCTGCTTCTTGAGAAGGAGTGAGAATGTCAGGGTTCTACTCACGCCAGACTCTTGGTTCCTGTGCTGTCCCTGGTCTGCGATTACCAGGATGAAGATTTCTTCTCCTTGTCAGTTCTTGCTTGTGGTGTGTAGAATCCACTCCCATGTAGCACCTGGAGACTTTGTCCTAGACTCTCTCTGTTGCTATGGCTGCTGCGGCCACCACTGTTGCAGTCATGGCTACCGGCAAGTGCTCAGATTTGTCTCCTTGACCGAGCTGCCTCGATTTTTCCTCTCTGGCCAAACTCTCTGTTCTGTAATTGCACACTTGGTGTGATTCTCTAGCTAGGACTGTTCACTGGAACACTAAAACTGCTTTCTATGCGAGAACTTGTTTAGCCTCCACCTTCTCCTCTGCCATCTTCCACTGGACCCCTTTGTTTTTTAAAGTATGCCTTCTTTCTCCTTTTATAAAATTTATGGGATTTCTTTGGTTTTCTACTCCCATGAGATCAAACAAATATTATACTAGGCATTGGAAATACAGAGATGAATGTGGTTAATACCTCCGTCCAATAAACTTACAGGCCAGTGAGAATGATAAAGTTGTTAGGTCATAGTGTAACAGTTTGTGGTGGCTATGTATTAGGAAGTATAGTCTTTCTCATCTAGCTGCATTTTCCTGTTAGCTGCTTTCCAGCTGCTTTTTAGCCACTCGTAGCTACCACAATTGTAGGCTTGTATGGATCTTAATAAAGAGAAGAAGGAACATTGGACAAACAGTTTAATTTGTACAGTTTTCTTAAGAGTGGTGAAAGTAATTAAGAGTGGTTTTTCTTCTCAATACTTTATAAAACATGAATGTCATTATAATTCATGCTTATAATAATGATCTTAAGCTGGGCACCAGTGGCTCAAGCCTGTAATCCTAGCTACTCAGGAGGCTGAGATCTGGGCAGAAAAGTCCGTGAGACTCTGATCTCCAATAAACCACTAGAAAACTGGAAGTGGCGCTGTACCTCAAGAGGTAGAGTGGTCACCTTGAGCTGAAGAGTAGGGACAGTGCCCAGGCCTAGAATTCAAGCCCCATGACCAACAACAACAAAAAATGATCTTATTCAAGGTATGAACTTGAAGGGCCTTCTTAACCATCAATAAATAATGTTTTGGGTCCAATATGAAGTCATAGGTATAGAGGAAGACCTTAGAGCCCCATTTACCAAAGCCTGTTTGTCATGTGAGAGAGTTGAAGTAGAAAGTTGTTTGTGATTTGGTCAAGGCTGCATGGCAGAGCAAGGAACAAAACTTAAAAAGTTTGCTGACTTTTCCTCTTTCCCACAGGACAGAAATTCACTTAGTCATTAATTGATTACAATATACATTATTTTTTGATACATATTTTTGAAATACGTATATGTCATATACATGAAAATATGTCACGAATATAATTCTAGAACATGTGCAATGAATGTACATGTACTTTTTTTTAAGTTCTTGATTTTTTTGTAATATGGAGACTTTTTTTTTTTTTTTGGGTCCAGTCGTGGGGCCTGAACTCTGGGCCTGGGCGCTGTCCCTCAGCTCTTCAGCTCAAGGCTAGCGCTCTACCACTTGAGCCACAGCGCCACTTCCGGCTTTTTCCTTTTTGCTTATGTGGTGCTGAGGAATCGAACCCAGGGCCTCAGGCATGCAAGGCAAGCGCTCTACCACTGAGCCAACTTCCCAGCCCGGAGACTTTTTTTAACTCAGTGCCTTGTGCTCAATAGTCAGGCACTCTACCAGTTGAGCCATGCCTCAATCCCTTTTTGCTTTTAGTTATTTTTCAGATAAGTTTTTGCACTTTTTGCCTATTTAGTTCTTTGGACTATGATCATCCATCTACTTACACCTCCAATGCAACCGGAATCACAGGTCATTTTTTTTCCCTCTGGCCTCTAACTTATAGTTCTCAGCAGATTTATTTTTAAGAAATGATTTATAGTTCAGGCATGATGTCTCACACCTGTAATCTCAGCTACATTAGAGATAGAGATTAGGAAGATCACGTTCAGAGATCAGCCTAGGCAAAAAGCCAGGTCCTATATCAACAAACAAGCTGGGCATGGTGTACCTCTGTATTCCCAGCTGCCTGGCGGGCCTAAGTAGGGAGATTAAGTCTCAAGTCTAGCCCAGACAATAACTAAAATCAACTGGAAAATACCTAAAACAAACAGGGCTGTCACATGGGTTCAAGTGGCAGGGTGCTTGCCTAATAAACATAAGGCCCTCAGTTTAAACCTGCGTACCACTGAAAAGAAAACATGTATAAATCACAGACTACTTAAAACTATCTGGTGATATATCATTTTGATATATAAGAAAAATGAATCACATGCTTTCATAATTAATTATTAATTTATTTAGTAGTGGATCCTATTACCTAAAATTAACCTTCCTCTACCTTCAGAATTCTTGAGAATTCTGACCACCTATGTCACATTTTCATTATTTTAGTTACCATGAAGCCTACCTTATTTGGAACTATAATCTTGTCCACTTTGGCCACAACTATAATTTATTTATCAATTATTTGAAGGATCAGTAAAAATCTTAACATCCAGAACAGAATTGATATGGTGTAATGGAAAGCTATGAAGATTTGTAGACATTGTGATTAACTAGCCGTGTGAACAATTTTTTCATTAAATAGTATAGTCAAAGTGTAGTATAAGATATTCTATTATAATGCTCTGTATTTGGTGATATGCAATGCACCTGAGATTTTTTTATCCTAGATACTGCGCTTTTTTCTCAATGGATCAAAATTACAACTCACTTAAGTGTAGTCATCATAGCTGAATGCAGCCCTGTATCAAGGAGCACAAATACCCCAAGTGTGGTTTCCTTTTTACCTGACCTAGAAAGTAGGAAGCTGGAATATGACTTAAATTTACATTTTCAGTAAAAGGGGTCATGGTCTGGAAACATTTTTTAGGCCCCAAATTTTAACTACGCCATTTTCCTTTATATGTGGTTAACTGTATATTTAATTGTTTAAAAGTATATTGTAAATACCATTTAAAAGACTTTGAGGTTTACAATTTTTTTCATGCCCTATAATACACAAGGTTGTATCTTGATTTCCTTATAAATCAGACTTTAGTGAGTGACTTGAGATGGCCATTAATACTTCCATTTTATTGTTACCTAATTAGAAAGTTGAAGCATAAATTTTACTTCATATACCTCAATTGACAAGTAATTATATAGTAGGGAAACTGGTGATGGTGCTTTATGTGTATGTTGTTTAAAAACTATGTTTGACTGAAGGAGTAGAGTATTATATAATCTCTAATTTTGAATGAAACTAATTATAAGATAAAGGAATTACATTTAAGTATTGTTTGTGTTTTTTACAGGATGAAGGTGTTGTTAAAGAAATCCCTATTACAAATCACGTAAAAGAAGGATATGAGAAAGCAGATCCTGCACAGTTTGAGTTGCTCAAAGTTCTTGGTCAGGGATCATTTGGAAAGGTAATAAATACTTTTTATACATTTTTTATTTTGAATATTATTTTTATGTGTATATGTAGTTTTATATATACAGACATAGAAATCTGATACATGAAATTCATTTCTAAATTTATCAAATGATGTCTAAAAAATTGACTTTTATTACTGTTATTCTTTACTCATATTTTCTAATACTTCCCTATAGTAGTCAAAGTTTTCTAATCCTTTGCATTTACATGTCTTTAAGAAAATATATAGCTATATCCTTTCTTACTGGCCTAAATAAAGTTAGTTGAATTGTTATAAAAATAGCATTTCTGGCCTTCCTGTTCATATTTTCACAACACAGCTTGCTCTTACCTGGTGATGTCATTTATATTTCTTTTTGTAAAAAAATTATCTTTAAGTAGTTTTACAAAGAGCTTTCAACTAAAGAAATCAGTTTATAACTACAATGCATCATGATCACTCTATTTCTTAGCTCTATATCAGAAGTTGGAATTTATACCTTATAATTCATGAGTTCATTTATCATCAAAAAGAAAACTAGAACAGAAATATATGAAGTAGAAGAAGAGCTGATGGGTGATATATGAAACACTTTCTTTCAAAGAACTTAAGTTTTGAATAAAGCAAAATTGGGTAAAACTAACTCGTACTCTCATTATTAAGCATTGATTACTTAGTGCTTGATAACATGTTTCTTGGGCAAAAAGTATGTTGATCTGGTTCCTGACTTTGATATACCTAAAATCTAAGTTATGAACATTAAATCAGGATCCTAAGATCTCAGTTTCCTATGGAACTAGGATTCTAGTCAGGGGTTACCAGCTGCCAGCTATATATATAATTGCTTTTGTGATGGAAAAGTCTAGCTTGGGACTTAAAATGTTTTTATAGACATTGGATTTTTAATAATAAAAGTGATGGTTTTGGAAAAATGTTTACAGTTAGTCATTTATCAGTAATTAGCATTTAAAGATATGTGATAATTTATATATATAATGTCCACTGCTTAATAAATGCTTAATGGAAAAGCAAACAAACAAGCTGGGTACTGGTAGCTCATGCATGTAATTATAGTTATTGGGAAGGCTGACATCTAAGGATCATGGTTCAAAGCCAGCCTGGGCAAGGAAGTCTGTGAGACCCTTCAATTAGCAACCAGAAAACAAGTAGTGGGGCTTTAAAATGTTTTTAGGTTTGTATATACATTTATTCATCTATTCATTTAGTCTAGCATTGTTCCAGAGAACATTTAAGGCTTTCAGACATGAGTAGTAAATATAATAAAGTTAAAAGTAAGTGACAATGTTGATACAACAGAAATTTCAGTGTTGGAAAGATTAGATGAAGTCAGGAATACATGTTGCTATTCTTAAATATATGACATAAGGGATGCCAAATTTTCCATAAGTAGGCCAAAAATGAAGACTTCCGTTTTCTGGAAGCTATTAAAAGGAAGCCCATATATTCAAATATACAGATCAAACTGAACAGAGAAATATCTTTTATGGCTCTTCATAAAATCAATACTGTATAACATAATGAAAAAATGTTAGTAACATCTCCGTGTTGAATATAACATCAGGCTGACAAATTGTCACTGTAGTTGTTAACTCTAGAAAACACTTAAATTTGTGCAATAATGTTAGTGTAACAAAAATATTATTAAATTACTTTCTACGTTCCTAATACTAAAACACAGAATAGTGATTTATGTAATATACCAACCAAAGAAATATTAAGGAAGTAGCCTTCTTTTTGCTTCTTAGGTTGTGAACATACTTGCTTGTCTAGATTGCATCATTTGTGTAGGCATTGTGTAGGAGTGACTTGTTAGCTGCTGAACCTATTCAGGAATTTGGCCAAGCCTGTGAATCAGATAAATGTAGTAATAATTCCAAGAAACTTTGGACTGCAGAGTATTGTTTAAGTTTTTCTTCAAAGGTTCCATTATTAAAATGCAAGAAATGGAATTTTTAACTCATATCAAGTCTCCTGACAGTAAATGTTTTTATAGTGTATTTAATGAGAGGATACTAGTAAAATTAGAGGCAATTAAAATTACACTTTAAGGTTAGAAATTAATGTTATCATAATGAATGTTGCATATAAATTATGTTCTAAGCATACCAAATGGAATGCTATTAATAATTACTAATATATAACTTTAAGTTTTACATACCTACTAGTTTACTTTAAAAATACATAAAACAGAGCATATTCAGTATTGTCAAATTGAACTTCTTTTTATATCATATACCAAATAAAGTTTGTGCAAATAATACATTCATAAATTTAAAAAGTATATTTTTATTTTTTGCCAGTATTGGGGTTGGAACTCAAGGCCTGTGTGCTGTCCTTTTGATTTTCTGTTATTCTACCACTTGAGCCACAGCTCTACTTCTAGACTTTTACTGATTAATTGGAGATAATTGTCTCTTAGACGTTTCTGCCTGAGCTGTTTACAAACTGGGATCCTAAGATGTTAGTCTCCTAATTAACTAGGAATACAGGTATGGGCCACTAGATGCCAGCTTTAAACAAAATTATATATTTTTTTCTTTTGGATAGAAAGGTCTAGCTCCGGGACTTAAAAATAAGTTTTTATAAACTTTGAACCTTTGCTTTTTAAATAATTAATAAAATATTAAGTGATGGTTTTCAAAAACCATTTATTAACTTTTAAAATTTTGAGGTGTTTTTGATATAAACAAAAAGATTGAGAATTGTTTTCCTGAAGAGACTGATAGCTGTGGTAGGAGCATCACTGATAAGATGACCCCTTTGTTCTTAGCATTTGTGCTCACATGATTCTATGAAAAAGAAATCTGGGGTTAGCTGCATTTAATTGACATCCTCAATAAAACTGAGTACAACCTTTGATCATGATTCTTAAAGTTAATATGATTTACTTAGCTTTGAAGAGGTTTTTTTTTTTTACTTTTGAAAATTCTTTCAATTTTATGCTTAAAAGTAGCAAGGCCTGCTTCTTAAAGCAATTGTACAGATGTGTACAAGTCTGTTTATCAATAAATGAAACCTTGATAAAAGAAAGAGGTTAGTAAATAAGCCCTGTGATTGTAACTTCTGTAGCTTAATATAGATATTATATAGCATTTAGATATTATGTAGCATTTAGGACCCCATGATAGATCTAGTTTTTATGTATATCTATTCCAACCTATCTTGGAAAATACACTTCTATAATTAAAAATCCTGAACTAGCAAGAAAATGACATAAGATAGTACTTTTAATCTGTTAGTCTGCTTTACACAGAAATAATGATTATTTCTAAGATATATGGTTTGGTTTAAACTCTGAAAATTCCGGTTCAAAGATTGTTTCATATAGATTAAAAACCTAGCATTTGTTAAATACTTATCATTTGTTAATTTGTGAACTGTCTTCATTAGTGTACAACAAGTGTGACATGAAATGTTCATTATTATTAGTTCTCTATGAATAATAGAAACAGAGTCAAGGATTAGAAATTTACAGCAATTTTACAGACCAGTTTTATACACATTAATGTTAAAATTATTTGTTAGCATGTATCACCTGCATAGGGGATTTCATTGCATTATTTTCATTCATCATAATTTCCTATATCAAAATCACCTCTTTTATTCCCCCCCCCAATCTCTCATTATACCTTTCTTAAAACAATTTCAATGGATGAAATCTGTCGCTTCCCAGAAAGGAACAAAAAGACTGGTTCTTCTACTCAAAAAGTGTGAGCAGTACTACAGTGAATATGTGAAAACTTTTCGTCTGAATTGCCCCTTTAGTTTAGGACTAATCTAAAGTTTTACTTTCAGAGAAAACAACAGAGATAGCATGAAGTGCAGGAATATAGGTAGATAAATGATTGAGCTGTAATAGCTGAATCTGTTAAAGAGTGCAAATACTGGGTCATACATTTTACATGAAGAGCCCTCCTTGTTTTGCTGGTACATAATTACCACATTGATGATATGAAATGTCAGATATATTTTGTGAAAGAAGAAAAAATTATTTAACAGTGAAAAAATAAACAAAAATTAACAATTTTATTGTCTATAATTTTATGTGAATAACTTAGGTACTTTTATGCATTTTCAGTTTAAATGATTTCAGTTTAAATGATCAGAACTTGTATTGGCAGGTTGTGGCAGAGAATAAGCATTGTTTACTAATTGAAAAAGAAACAGGGCTGGGGATTTAGTTCATTGGAAGTCCTCTTGCCTGGCAAATGCAAGGACCCAAGTTAGCTCTTCAGTGCCTTCCCTCCCCCCTCCACAAAAGAAAAAAGAGGAGAAGGAGGGGGAAGGAGGAGAAGCAAGAAGAAGGAGAAGGAGGAGGAGAAGAAGAAGAAACAGCCCTTTAAAAGTAAACTGCAGTTCATAGCCAGCACAGGCAGGAAAGTCCTTGAGCCTCTTTCTTACCTACAATTAACCACCAAAAAACTGGAAATGGTGCTGTGGCTCAAATGGTAGAGCACTGACCTTGAGCCCAGGCCCAGGGTTCAAGCCCCATGACCTACAAAAAAATCATTATAAATACATATAGGTTTTATTTTCTATGTGTAATTTGTAAAAATGAGGTATTTTTTGAGTTTATAAGTAATGTTAGAGTAACTTTAGAATTTAATCTTGTTTATTGTAGTGATTTGCCATCTTGACTCTTATACCTCACTAAATAATAAGAATACTCTCTAATTTTTTATTAGAAAATAAAGTACCAGATAACTTCTAAAACAGACCAACAAGGAAATTTGTGGTCATAACATTTGGTTTTTATTAAGGTAAATATATCTTTGAGTTTTATAAAGAGGTCTCTATTTGAAATTAGTCTTTCATTATGTTATTTCTTACATTAACATTTTCTCTTAGGGCTGGGAAGGTGGCTCAGTGGTAGAGTGCTTTCCTTGCATGCATGAGTCCCTGGGTTCGATTCCTTAGCACCACAAAAGCAAAAAAAAAAATGGAAGTGGTGTTGTGGCTCAAGTGGTAGAGTGCTAGCCTTGAGCTGAAGAGCTGAGGGAAAGTGCCCAGGCCCAGAGTTCAGGCCCCACAACCGACAAAAAAATAAAAAAAAAAAACACAAAAAACAATTATCTTAGTCCTATACCATGTTATCTATAATGTTTTTTTATCAGTTGTGGGGCTTGAATTCAGGACCTGAGTGCTATCCCTGAGTCTCTTTGTACTAAGGCTAGCACTCTACCATTTTGAGCACAGTGCCACTTCTGGTTTTTGAATTAATTGGAGATAAGATTCTCTTTGGGACTTTTCTATCCTGGCTGGCTTTGAACTGTGATCCTCAGATCTCAGCCTCCTGAGTAGCTATGATTACAGGCATGAGCTACTGGCATCTGGCATATACATTTTTTTAGTAGTATGCATATAGATTGTGATTTTTCCAATGGAGACCATGATAAAATATTAAGTATATTCATTTAGAGTAACTTATAGGAGAAAGCCTATTTTCATATTAGAGAAAATACAAGGACAAAAATGTGTTCTACTTTGTGTAAATAGTACAAAAATGGATTCCCTCCTTTTTTTCATCTTTTTGAATGACCCCACAGACCTACAGCCACCTAATCTTCAATAAAGGAGCCAAAAAATAGGCTGGAAGAAAGACAGCCTGTTCAATAAGTGGTGCTGGCAAAGTTGGTTAAATACCTGTAGAAAACTAAAGTTAGATCCTTATATATCACCCTGGACCACAATCAATTCCAAATGGTTCAGCTACCTCGAGGTAAAAGCAGACACCCTGGGGCTGGGAAGGAGGCTCAGTGGTAGAGTGCTTGCCTTGTATGCCAGAGGCCCTGGATTCGATTCCCCAGCACCACATAAGCAAAAAAGAAAAAAGCCTGAAGTGGCACTGTGGCTCAAGTGGTAGAGCACTAGCCTTGAGCTGAAGAGCTGAGGAACAGCGCCCAGGCCCAGAGTTCAGGCCCTACCACCGGACCCAAAAAAAAAAAACAACAAAAAAAAAGCAGACACCCTGAAAACATTACAAGAAGGAATAGGAGAAACTCTAGCGCACCTTGGCACAGGCTGAAATTTTCTAAACACCTATAACATAAGGGTCAACCTTTAAAAAATGGCTTGGACTAGGAATTCTACTATTGTTTTTCTTTTTTTACTTCCCCTTTTAGGTTTTTCTTGTGAGAAAAAAGACTGGTCCTGATGCTGGGCAACTCTATGCAATGAAGGTGTTAAAAAAGGCTTCTTTAAAAGGTAGAAAATTAGAGCATTTATTAAATTAGAATTTTGTAACTCTTATTTGAAGAATGATGGTGTCTGAGAAACATATTGTGCATTGCTTTTATGAGGTGAATAATTCTATAATAATGTTAACTATTAAAGTTTTCTGGCTAGTAAGTAATCCTAGGGTTTAATATTCAGATATGCCTTAATTTATTGGGAGAGTATCACAGTAAAAGATTAATGCTTAGCAAAGTGGTGTATTACATTTAATTCACTAAGAACTTACCAGTTTTATTAATCTGCATTCTTTTTTCTAATTTCCATTTTTCTTGTTTTATCAGTGTTTGTATTGCATATGGAGAAAGTACAACTACCTGCATATACATAGATACATGTACTATCTTGTACACTGTGGTAAAATACTATTAAGTTCACTTTTAATTAATAAATCCATTTGAACAATTAAAACCTAATGTATAATGCACATTAGCCAAATACCTATTTATGCCACTTTAACTCGTTTCTAAACTAAACTTGTTGGCTTTCAGAGAACATTGTCATAATATGTGAATGCAGACACTAATTTAGTCATTTTTGATGTTATAGTTTAGTTTTTGATTGGCAAATTGTTGATCAGATGATTACCGAAATTGTGAATAAGTGACATATATTCGACTCTTATGTAATTTTTAGTTCGAGACAGAGTTCGGACAAAGATGGAGAGGGATATTCTAGTGGAAGTCAATCATCCGTTTATTGTCAAATTGCATTATGGTATGTAATTTTTTCTTATGACAGAGATTTAATATTTTAGATAACATATCAAGAAGTAAATACTTAAAATTTACTGAATTATGCTACAGTGAAATGCATTTATCTAAAATAAATATCAGTATCTAGCTTTTACTTATAGTTGTTTGTCTTATTTGGGTAATATTTTTCTAGTACTATTTCTGTAGAGCTTTATACCATCAGTGACCTTAGGCTATAAACTACTGTAATTATTTATATAAAAAATTAGGTCTGGATGCCAGTTGCTCATGCCTATCATCCTAGGTGCTCAGGAGGCTCAGATCTGAGGATTACAGTTAAAAGCCAGCCTAGGCAGGAAAGGCCATGAGACTTACCTCCAACAAACTGCTCAGAAAATGTCAGAAGTGATGCTATGGCTCAAGTGGTAGAGTACTAGTCTTGAGCAAAAGAAGCTCAAGGACAGCAAGCGCACAGACCCTGAATTCAAGCTCCAGGAACAGCGTGTGTGCATGCACGCGCGCGCACACACACACACAATTTCAGGTGTTTGATTAGAATGACTGTATTAATCTTATTTTCCTAGCTCTCTTTGAAGCTCACGTAGTTATAGTAGTTTATGTGAACTATTAAACTTAGGAGGCGAAGGATATTATTTAAAAAACAGTGGATGTAATGGAGAATACATAAGCTTTGAGATCAAACTGACTTTGTATTATGACTCCTTTATTAACTTATTGCAGGGAAGAAACTATACACTATGATTTTCTTGGGAAGTAAATGAGAGCTAGATAGCTAGATAGATAAATCATTGGTGCAATCTATTATGTCAGTTTCAGTTTAATTTTTAAGAAGTAACTGATATTAACTCTATTCGTACTATAATTTTTACATTTACCCAGTTATATTTATAAAAGGTCCGCAAGGATTTTTGATCCATTATCCTTTTATTCATTATTTCCCTAATGAAATAAAAGTGGTAGTATTTAAGGACTCATTTAAATCTTTACTATATCATTAGAATCGTAAATAAACACCTCTTGTGTGCAAAACACCATATTAAATGTAGTGAGCTATAGTAGTAAAATAATCTCTGACCATGAAAAATTCATGATCTATAGAGGACATAGAAATGTAAATAAATTAATTGTACTATAAGAGGTATAAAATATAGTAAAATCTCAAAAGCAGTGGCAAGTAATTTTGGTCAGGATGGGGCAATAAGAATGTTATGGAGAAATGTGAACAGAGAGAAATTCTGAAAAATTTGGTAAAAGTGGTGTCATGTTAAGCTTTATAGAATCATTAAATTTTCAGTGGATTGTTTGGAGGCAAAGTAAAGGAAACTTCAGTAGAAAGTAGTGCCTCATGAATTGGGAAAATGGTAATCGTAGAAGTATTCATGTAAAGCCACAAAGCTAATTATATTCTAGGAAGGAATTTATAGCTATTTTAACACTGGATTAAACATGGGATTTAATTCTGAGATTGTTATGCAACAACAGACCATGTGATAGTGTTTAGTGATAAAATTCTAAACAGATACGTTAATTAGGAAGCACATTAAGCTTTTTAAAGCCTTTGAGATTGGTCTGTTATTATTATCATTTCTAATTAGCTTTTCAGACTGAAGGGAAGCTGTATTTAATACTGGATTTTCTCAGGGGAGGAGATGTCTTCACAAGATTATCCAAAGAGGTGAGTGTCTACTTATATATTTTAACTCTTATTTTATTGAAATGAAACTGAAATATTTTCCTATGGAAATTTTGATGATAATTTTATATTTCATTGTATTTAGTTTTGTGTCAGTTAATGGCTTTTTATATACGCTTGTCACTCAGTTCATTTCTGAGTGCTAGTCATTATTCTCTTAGATGTAAAAATGTAATGAATAACTTAATGAAGTAGATAGGAGTAAGCCTAGGAGTTTGGTTACTTAAGCTACCTAAATTATACTTGTAATAGTGCTTAATTTATTCACTTAAAATAGCATTGTTGTAATTTAATTGACATATAGTAAACTACACATATTTAGTTACACAATTTGATAAAAATTGACATTTATTTATACCTATGAAATCTTAATTTAAATAAAAATAATTAGCATATTCACTATTTTCAAAAGTTTTCTTAGACATCCCTTTGTAATGCCTGCTTCATATACCAAAGCCACTGAATCTGCTTTCTGTCACTGTTTTTTTTTCTAAGTTTATATAAATGGAATCATACTTTGTATTTTTCTATCTGATTTAAATCAGGACAATTATTTTTATTTGTTCATGTTATATGTATCAGTATTTAATTCCTTTTCTTGCTGATTAGTAGTATCCATTTCTTTATTCACATGTTGATGGATGTTTTGAGCTGTTGCAGTTTTTGTGTATTATCAATAAAGCTGCTGTAAAAGTTCATGTACAGCTGATTGTATGGACATATATTTTCATTTCTCATGGGTAAACACGTCAGCGTATAATGACTGGGCCACATGGTAGGTGTATATTTTAACTTTTGAAGACACTGCCAAACTATTTTCAGAAGTGGTTATATAATTTTTATTTCCCAGCAGCAGCTTAAAAGGGTTTTATTGCTTTACATCCTTGCCAATAGTTGGTATGGTCAGTTTTTTATTGTGTTTCTAAATTTTATCACATTAAAGACTAATGATGTTGGGCATCTTTTCTTGCACTTATTTGCCTATCTTCAGTAAAATACCTTTTTAAACCGTTTGCCCATTTTAATTGAATTGCATATTCTCTTCCTACCTTTTGAGTTTTTCATTTATTTATTTTTATTGTTATTGTAAAGGTGATGTACAGAGTGGTTACAGTTCCATAAGTCAGATAATGTGTAAATTTCTTTTTGAAAGTATCTGCAAACAGCACATTGACCAGTGACTTATATTTAAAATAAATGAGAAGTCAGAATAACTACAGATTTCTCATTTATTTTAGATGTAAGTCGCTGATCATATATGCTATTTGCAAATACTTTTTTCTGGTTAGTGGTTTATCTTTTAAATGGCTGAATTGTATTTATTTTGAGCAGGAGAAGTTCATAAATTTTTGGTTGACAGTCCTAAGGCTTTAACTCAGGGCCTGGGCACTGTTCTTCAGCTTTTTGGTCAAGACTAGTGCTCTACCACTTGAGCCATAAGCTCCGCTTCTGGTTTTTGGCTTGGAACTGCAATCCTTAGATCTCATCCTCTTTGGTAGCTAGGATAGATGTGAACCTCCAGCACCTGGTTTAATTTTTAATGTCCTATTTAAAAAATATTTGCCACATATTTACTGAGAATTTTCTCCTATGTATTCTACAAGGTTTGTAGTTTAGGTTTTAACAATTTAGATTTCTGATTTGAGTTCATTTTAATATGGTTATAGGTTTGTGTTGAAGTGTTTTTTATATAAATAGTAATGCCAGGTGTTCTGGCATTATCATTGGAAAAGACTGCCCTTTCTTTAATGAATCATTACATTTTTGTTGAAAATCAGTTTACCATATATATGAAAGTATTTCTATTTTATTGTTTTCATTGATATTTTTGTCTGTCTTTATGATAGATTATTACTGCTTTGATTACTGTACCTCTAGAGTATATTGTGAAGTAAACTATTGCATTCCTTCAGCATTTTTTACTTTCTTTTGGAATATTGTTTGACTCTTATCTGTTCCAGGTCAATTTTCTTTTGTATGTTCTTCCCCCTGTTGTCACTGTATTTGATTCTGGTGCCCTGCATCTTGCATATACATTTTTCTAATTTGGGGAGGGGAAGGGAAATAACAAAATGCTGAAACAAGGATAAGATTGACCCATTGTAACAATGACACGTACAACTTCGGGGGTGGGAGGGTGGTAGACAGGAGTTGGAGAGATGGGGAGGGAAGGGATGGTAGGGGAAAAACAAAGTAGCAGGTAACAATGCTTGATAGGAAATGTACTTATTACCTTATGTAAACCTTCTGTACAGTATCTTTATGATAAAAAATTAAAAAAACAGGGGCTGGGAAGGTGGCTCAGTGGTAGAGCGCTTGCCTTGCATGCCTGAGGCCCTGGGTTCAATTCCTCAGCACCACATAAGCAAAAAGAAAAAAAATCAAATTTTTACTTTCTAAAAAAGCTTCCTTAAATTTTGATTGAGATTACATTACACATATAGGTCCCTTTGCAGAAAATTGACAATATTGAGCCTTTCTATAAACATGATTTTCTTTTCTACTTATTTAGTTCTTGATTAATTTCTATTGGCAATTAATTGTTTTCAATAAATGTCATATACATTTTTCATATTTATCTTTTAATGGTTACTATGTTTAAATTTTGGTTTGAATAGAATGATTTCTTAATTTCAATTTCAAACCGATGGACAACCAATAGACTTTTCTAATATTGAGAATAGTGATATTATATAATTTATATAAACTTATTACTATGTTTCTAATTTTCTAAGGCCTTATAAATTTGTTACCTGTAAACAAAGAATTTCAGTTCCTTTCCATTATAGATGTTAATTATTTTTTTTATTTTTACTTGTTCTTTAGCCTCCAGTCTGATGTTGAATAAAATTGGTGGGCACAAACTGTCTTGCCTTGTTTCTGACCTTAGAGTAAAGAATAATTTCATCATAAATTTTAAAGGTCAATTTGGCTACTTTTGTATGACTTTGCTTACGCTAAGTTCCCATCTCTTAACATGTTTTTAATGGGTATTAAATCTCATAAAAATTGTCTCAACTTATTGAAATAATTTCATTTTCAACTTTAGTCTCTAATGGGATCACGTTACACTATTTGACTGACAAATATTGAGCCAACCTTATATTTGTAGATGAATCCTACTTAGTCATGATATATTATCACTTTTGGAATATTGCTGAATGACATTTTCTAAAAATTATGCATTTTTGCCTCTTTTTATGAGGAGTAGTTTACTATAATTTTGACTTTGTACAATGATACTGATACGAGGAGGATTTTTCTTCCAACTTTTTTCTGGAAGAGTTTATAAGTTTAATAATAATTGCTCTTACATATTTGATAGAATTTATCAGTAAGGCCCTTTGGCCCTGGAAGTTTCTTTGTAGAAAGATGGTTAACCAAAATTTCAATTTATATAATAGATTTAGATTTATTTTTTGTTTTTCTGTGAATTTGATATAAGTAATTCACCTGTTTCATCATTATCAAATTTATAAACATAAAGTTTTTTATTATTCTCGTGTGTGTGTGTGTGTGTGTGTGTGTGTGTGTGTGTATGTGTGTGTGTATGATAGTACTAGGTTTTGAATTTAGAGCCTGGGCACTGTCCCTTAGCTTTTTCTGCTCAATTCTAGTACTTTACTATTTGAGCCACATCTCTACTTCCAGCCTTTTGCTGGTTAATTGGAGATGAGTCAAAGACTTTCTTGCCCAGGCTAGCTTTGAACTAAAATCTTCAGATCTCAGCTTTCTGAGTAGCTAGGATTACAGGATGTGCCTCTGTCACCTGGCTTAACTTTTTTTTTCTTTCCTTTTTTTTTCATAGCTGCAAGATCATAGCTGTCACTATTGTAATTTCTTAGTTAGTTATTTGTCTTCTCTTTTTTATCCTACTAAACCTGGTTAAAGGTTTATCCGTTTTTTTTTTTAAATCAAAAAACAGCTTTTATGGTCTGAGAATGTAGTATAGCTCGTATAGCTCAATGGTTGAGTGCTTGCCTAGCATGCATGAGACCTTGGGTTCAATCCGAAACACTGCAATAAAAATTTAAAACAGTTTTGGGCTGCATTGATTTTCTGGTGTAATTTCCATTGTCTATTCCATTGTATTTTACATTCATCTTTAATACTAGATCTTCTGTGTACTAGTTTTCCTTGTTCAAAAGATGGAAGTTGAGATTATTGATGTGATGTTTTATGGGTATTTATTATTTACAAATTCTCTTTAACTGCTGCTTTCAAGTCAACCCACAAATTTTATGTCATTTTTTTCTTAATTTGGGATACTTTATAACTTCCTTTATTTCTTTGGTTCATTGAGTAGATTTATGTTATTAATTTAGATTGTTTTCCAGTATCTCTATTATTGATTTTTAACTTAATGGCATTATAGTCATGAAACACACGTTCTCTGACTAGAATCTTCTTAAACTTACACTTTCTTTATGGTACAGGATCAAGTATTTATTAGTACATACATATGAACTGAGAATATACACCATTTTAGGAGACTATGTATTCTGTTGGGCAAAGTAGAATAAATATTTTTGGATCAGGAGAATGTTCATTTGGGCTGGAATTAGGACTGCTATATTTTTTCTAATTTTCTACCTGCTTGTTTTGCATACAACAATATTATTAATGTGCAATAGTTATATGTGTTTTTAATTTCTGAGACAGATTAAAAACTAACTATAATTATCGATTAGTTTATTTCTTCAGTTTTTATCAAGGTTTGCTAAAGTGTTTCAAACTTTTGTTAGTAGGTACATAAAGTATCTTTGTTGTTTCTCAATGAATTTTTTACTTTAATTTTATTGTCAAGGTGATGTACAAAGGGGTTACAGTTACATAAATAAGGTAGTGAGTACATTCTTGATGAATTTTATCATTATGAGGCGACTTTATCCCTTTTTTTACTCTGAAATGTACATTGACATCAATCATTCCGGCTACGTTAAAATTAGTATTACTGTAGTCTTTTTCCATATATTAATTTT